CCACATTCGGGGGCATCATTGGCCCAGCAAGAAGCTTCCGTAGGTTCCTTTTAAACCACTCCGGTCCTCCACTACAAATCCCAGCATGCCTCTGCCTCTGGGAGTCCTGCCTGTGGCTGTGGAAGTCTTGCAATGCATCATGGGACTTGTAGTTCCACCACAGCTGGAAGGCCCACCCCTGCTTTAAGCCCTAACAAAGGATTTCTCTTATTTCCTTAACCATAAAGGGCCCCCCACCACCACCACCGTGGGAGGGAGCTGCGGAGCATTGGCCTGCTGCATGCTGGGAGCTGTAGTCCATGTAGGCAATGTCAGCACCTCGCTGGATACTGGGGCCTCTTCTTCCTTTCCCATCAAGTGGCGGAACACCAGAGCCCAGTTGCACATGCAAACGCTGTAACTCTGGTAGCTCCTCCAGTGCGTCCTATAGTCCTGTGCAAGGGTGACATCACTGCTTCTTCATAGATACAGTGCAGTGAGTGAGCGTTGTCACCCTAGGACAGGAAGTGTTTTACTTTCCTAGGGTGACAATGCTGCTCTCCTAAAGAGACAATACAGTGAGCGTTGTCATTCTAGGAAAGGAAATGTGTTACTGTCCTAGGGTGACAACGCTGCTCTCCTATAGATACAATACAGTGAGCATTGTCACTCTAGGACAGGAAGTGTTACTTTCCTAGGGTGACAATGCTGCTCTCCTAAAGAGACAATACAGTGAGCGTTGTCATTCTAGGAAAGGAAATGTGTTACTGTCCTAGGGTGACAACGCTGCTCTCCTATAGATACAATACAGTGAGCATTGTCACTCTAGGACAGGAAGTGTTACTGTCCTAGGGTGACAACACTGCTCTCCTATAGATACAATACAGTGAGCATTGTCACTCCAGGAAAGGAAGTGCTACTGTCCTAGGGTGACAACACTGCTCTCCTATAGATACAATACAGTGAGCATTGTCACTCTAGGACAGGAAGTGTTACTGTCCTAGGGTGACAACACTGCTCTCCTATAGATACAATACAGTGAGCATTGTCACTCCGGGAAAGGAAGTGTTACTGTCCTAGGGTGACAAAACTGCTCTCCTATAGATACAATACAGTGAGCGTTGTCACCCTAGGACAGGAAGTGTGTTACTGGCAGGTGACAATAAAGGACTCTTAAGGTGCCTCCCCCGCACTAAGGGGGGCCCCTTCACGCCTTTGTGTCGGGGTAACATGGCAATGTATGTAGAGAAGGCAACAAATGGGAGCGGGGGGAATGTAAAGGATCGGAAAGATGAAGCTGGTTTTGTATGGAGTGTGGAAGAGTTATATAGGGGGGTTCAAGGCCAGAAAAAAGGGGGAGCCGATGCCGCCCGCCGCCGCCTCTATGGGCCGGTGATCTGCTACACCTGACATCGTTCCTCTCGGGTTTAGATACATTTTAATTCATTTGAAGGATGAAAAGTAACAGATTGTTACAAAATTGTTTCCTCTTCCCAGCTCGGAACTTCCACCGTCCCAGTTCCTCTTTGAACTCTCCTGAAGACCTTCCCCGAAGACGGGGCCCCGCCGGCCCCCGACCTAGGAAGTTCCTTTCTTGGTGGCCTCATTGACAAGGGAACAGGTACAATATTTGGAGGTAAACAAACAATTAGCGTGTTGACAAATCGTTCTGTTTCCTGGCCCGACTTCCAAAGGGTGAGGTAAGGGTTAAACAATGCACAGCTTCCCCCCGGGATGTGTTATGGTAATGGACGGAGTCCAATGCTACTTTGTAGAGAGCGGGGTTGTCACCTGGCTTCTGCTGACAATGGGCTTGTGTATTGAGGCCAGACGTAGCCAGCCACAAAGGGTCCACCTAATACACACACACACACACACAGGCGCATATGCAGAGATACACAATATCCGTCCTCTGATGGATGCTCTATAGATATGAAGGTCCCCCTCCCCCCATACGGAATCCCGTTTTGCAAATGGGGGCCTTGGCACTCCCATCCAGTTACGTGGAACATGGCGAAGAACGAGCCCCATGGGGCCCCATGCAGCCTACCTGCCAGGAACCCCCCCCCCCTCCCCAACATTTCTATTGGATGAGTTTGGAGAATGACGCAGAATTACGCTAGTCCTCTCCCCATTTTCTCACCAACTAACCGCACAGGCAGCCCATGCGGGGCCCCACTGCTAATTCAATGGGCCCTGATATGGGAGTACTGCCTGTACCGAGGAACACCATTAGGAATAATGGGGTCCCATGCATCCTACCTGTCAGGCCCCCCCCCCATCCCAACATTTCTATTGGATGAGTTTGGAGAGTGACACAGGTTTCCACTTGTCCCCCCACCTTCCCACCGCCGGACTGAGCCGTGGATACGGTACTGGTAGCCCATGCGGGGCCCTCCTGCTAATCCAATGGGCCCTGATATGGGAGTACTGCCTGTACCCAGGAACGCCATTAGGAATCATGGGGCCCGATACAGCCTACCTGTCAGGGCCACCCCCATCCCAACATTTCTATTGAGTTTTGAGAGCAGATTTTCGCTTGTCCCCTCCCCCGGGCTCCTCCCACCGGTCAGTGCTCAGTGGATCTGCAGCAGGGTGGAACCATGGAACCATAGCTTTGCCCCGCCCCCCAAGGCGCCATGCCTGAGCAAAAGCTCCACAGCCCAAATTCTATCTTCCAGCCCAATGCCAAACTGAGCCATGGATACTGCACAGACAGCCCATGCGGTGCCCCCCCTGCTAATCCGATAGGGCCTGATATAGGAGTACTGTGTGTATCAAGGGCCGCCATTAGGAATCATGGGGCCCCATATAACCTACCTGGCAGCCCCCATCCTCATTTACATACATGTGCATGCCCTATGCGCACGTGTTCATTCTAATCACACTATAACAGGAAGTGTCTGAACAAGGACAGAGCATTGTCACCCAATAACAGGAAGTGCCTGAACAAGGACAGAGCATTGTCACCCTATAACAGGAAGTGCCTGAACAAGGACAGAGCATTGTCACTGTATAACAGGAAGTGCCCAAACAAGGACAGAGCATTGTCACCCTATAACAGGAAGTGCCTGAACAAGGACAGAGCATTGTCACCCTATAACAGGAAGTGCCTGAACAAGGACAGAGCGTTGTCTCACTATAACAGGAAGTGCCTGAACAAGGACAGAGCATTGTCACTGTATAACAGGAAGTGCTCGAACAAGGACAGAGCATTGTCACTGTATAACAGGAAGTGCTCGAACAAGGACACATCATTGTCACCCTATAACAGGAAGTGCCCGA